AACACATACCAAATCAGTGTTATACCTCGTCAACACAGCTCTTGAATATGTAACATATGAATGTTATACTATGTCAACACACCTCCTCAATATGTTACTTATCAATGTTATACCATGTGAACATTCCTCTTCAACATGTAATATATCAGTGTTACATCTTGTCAACACACCTAAACAACACACACCAGATCAGTGTTACACCTTGTAAACACTTCAACATGTAACAGTGTTATACCTTGTCAACACACACACCAGATCAATGTTATACTCGGTAATCACACCTCTTCAATATGTAACATATCAGTGTTACACCTTGTCAACACACCTCTTCAACATGTAACATATCAGTGTTACACCTTGTCAACACACCTCTTAAACATGTAACATATCAATGTTATTCCTTGTGAGCACTCCTTTTCAAGATGTAAAATATCAATTTTACATCTTGTCAACACATATCAGCTCAGTGTTACACCTTGTAAACACTTCTTCACCATGTAACATATCAGTCTTACACCTTGTCAACATACCTCAACATCTAACATATCAGTGTTACACCTTGTCAACGCACCACTTCAACATCTAACATATCAGTGTTACACCTTGTAATCATACCTCATCAACACATCTCTAAAACACACACACACCAGGTCAGTGTTATACCTTTAGACACACCTCTTCAACAAATACCATATCAGTGATATACTATGTCAACACACCTCTACAACACATACCAGATCAGTGTTATACCTTGTCAACATACCACTACAACACATACCAGATCAGTGTTATACCTTGTCAACACACCTCTACAGCACATACCAGATCAACGTTATACCTTGCGAACATAACTGTTACAATTTGTTTAATACAACATGAAAGTAAAAGGGATCATTTGGTCCATTAAAGGGCTGGCTTTGAGTTATTTAGTGTTTAGTTTAATTTAGGATGGTTTAGATGGACAAAAAGTTAACATTTTCTTAGGTCAAAATGTGTTTCCAATAAGACTTTCCTCCTCTCACATTACAGCTACTACTTGCTGCCAGGGTATTTTTCTTTGCCTATATAAACATTGGTCTGACTTTTCCCACTTGCTCCAATCTTTTATACTCCACTTAATTGCCTTTGGAAATATTTGTCTCATGACATTCTCCACCTACATCAATGTGCCCTCTATCCTGGTACTGTATATAAGCAGCTCATTCACATAATGTTATCACTTTCTGGAGACGGAATAAATCTATAGTCTCTACCACTGGCTTGTAGTGAGGAGGAAGGGCAGGAGAGTGATTAAGCATTATTGGAAATACCTTTTTCATTTGTGAAAATGTTAAATTCCAAAACATATCTCCTCTCACACTACAGCTAAAATCCTATGCTGATAATGTGAATTAGGTAGTGATGATATTATCCATATAGAAAGCATCTGCATAGATCAAGTGTGTGTTTATAAAAGATTGGCACCCTAGCGGGAGAACCACACTACCTCCAGAACATGTATGCTCTTCACCTGGAATTTAATTCATGTATTTTGGGTGGAATGTTACATGACTTGTCATCAATACTGGTCAGGCCCCAACCAGTTAGCTGAGGTTACACTGCCCAGAGATAAAATTATACAGCCATGGTCCCTATATCCCACATTGGATCCCAACCTGTAGCCATAGGGTGATGCTTTCTAAGTCACCAGAATCATGACAAGAAGGTAAGCAGCACCATAGTGGATCAACCTTCTCCTCATTATAAAGAAGTCTGAAAGGCAACACATCAGGCTCCGAATGACGAGCTCTTGTATGTCTTACTCAACCTGAGGAAACAGAACTCATCTGGCCTGGAATTATGAACACTCATCCTCACTCCCCAAATGTGTGGGTAAGGTAAATTCCACTTGTCCATGGAATTATGGGGAGGACATGCAACAAATGCTGCTCAACCAAAGATCCAGAATGGGACCACTCTGCATTTGGAATTACAAGGAGACAATGGACCATCTTCCATGAGCAATATACTGAACTAATATTGATTAAAAAGAAGAGCCACGCTCAACCCAACCGGATAGCTGAGCATCAAACCTGAACTGGTATTATGAGTAAGCTCCTGTGTAGGCTGGTGCCTCCCCTACCAAAATCTGGGAAAAAACATCCAGGGATCCGGGTAGGAGGGCTCCCAACACCAACCTCTTCTCCAAGAGTGGTGAAAACTCACTATAACACTCTGGAGGAAAAGCCTATGTCCACCACCTCAGTGAATGGAAATTGGATCCACTAGTAGAATCTGTGAAATAATACAGTTTGAGGAGTCCTGTCCTGAAGAACAGTGCTCTGGAAACAGTTCAACAGATGAACCAAGTTCCCTTAATTTTTAAAAGGTAACTGGTGGTGAGTGTTGCCCAGGAAGGTGTGCTGTTACCAAACCAATCCTGCAATAGCAACCATTAACACAACATACCTTATCTAGGTTGCAGCAAGCTCTGTAGAAATGAGATGTTCCATAAGACCACCTAGAAAGTAACTGGTGGTATTACTGTACTATGGCGGACCGCCACTCATGGACAATCATGAGTAAAGCATAAGGGGATCCTGCCTGTCCCTGCTGATCATTGGATTGAATAAATATGGGTAGAGTGAAATCCTGTGAAAACGAGGTAAGGGACCCTGAAAGGTAAAGAAGAGACAAATGTGGCAATGAAAGTGCTCACCCCTCTGTATAATCTAGCAGAAGTGGTTAAGATAGCTAAAGGAGGTAGTTGAAAACCCTCAGATGAAGATACTGCCAGATCATGCAAATAATTTGAGGTAAAAGAATTGGGTGGAGATCCACATACCACCCCACACAATGTCGTCCAGCAAGCAGTTCAACCGGGCCACTAAGGACATACAAGTGTGATGAATTTGATTAGACGTGAGTCATAGAAGTCTCATCGCCTTCAAAGAGAGCACAGAATAAGCAATATGGATCAATTTTTGTACCCGCTTCATCAATGTAACTGGAGATAAATCCTGGGAAACTGAATGACCCCAATGAATAAAAAGTCATTGTCTAGCATCCTTAAAGGACAACACTACCTTCAAGACCCTCACTGGACATAACAAATAATCAAATATGATCAGTCATAGAAGTGAGAAACACTGATAAGATAAATCAGTGAAAAGCATTTACCTCTTTCCCTAGCTGACAGTGTCTTAGGGAAGAAAAACCGGTGTGAGGACGTAGGTAGAATGATAAAGTATCTTGTGCACAATCAGTGCAAAAAACTCCAACTGGAGATGTCTTTAGGTCAGCAGCAACGAAAATAAACCTTCAGTGAAAGGTGATACATGACACATGAGGCTAAGGTCTCAACCAGGTGTTGACAAAGGTCATGTAATACCACCTTAATATACCAGTTAGGTAACTCGAATTGTTGTTTGGGACAAAGTACCCAAAATGACTTGATGAAGCCGGACAGTACTGGGGACTCAAATAATTTTTGTCTAAAATATCGAATGGTAGTCGATAAGGCTACCTTATACAGGGCAATTCTGGAAGATGTAAAACCCTTGTCAAAGAGCCAGGTCCAAAACGAGTTATGTTTGGCACTTCTGATCAAAGTAGGTTCAACCTCCTCTCAATACACCACTGCTGATATGTGCACCTTTTCTGTTGATAGGACTAAGCAAAGACTAAGACAGATACATGGCAACCTTAGTAATTAATCTCCAATGTTGTGCAAAGGACTACATAACCTCCGTTCATAGGCCTGGTGTACCATGTAAGGTCATGGCTGCCTTCACAGAGATGACCAGAGAGGAGGTGGGCACTCCTAAAGGTTCTGCAAAAACAGAAACCAAGGTGTAGTTGCTAATCCAGTGCTATAAACAGGACCCGACAAAAGGTTGGAACAAATCGTAGTTATGTAATCAAAAGACAACATGTTGGACTTGAGTTGTAAGTCTGTAGAGTTACCACTGTCCCACCAGGGGCATTGATCTATTGAAGCTAACCATAAAGTGCACTCTAGAACCCTTAATTTCTCGGAGCAGATGCATTCATTGGGAGTTGAAATATGTATGAACCACAATGAATCGAGGGAAACTAAGTATTCACTTCCATACCTTTCAGCCATCAAGTAAGATACAGGCTCAAAAGGAATTGGAGAAAAATCCAAACATCACACACTGAAGAAAAAGAGCTTGAGGCAGCTTATCCCAAAGTGGCCTTCTGAGAAGCCACCAGAATATAAGAAGGTGAAGGAAAATGTGAATCTAAATTATCTCCAGAATGCCCAGAATTGCCCTCAATTTCAGCCTCGAAGCCCCCAGACAAACTATATTGAACCAAATATATGTTTCAATCTCCTACAATAAGCTCTTTGACAGTTTCAAACAAGAGTGATTCCCCCTCCCAATTGTTGAGGGATGCTAGAAATCAGAGGTGGGATAGGAGAGACTTGATTTGCCTCTGTGCTGGCAATACACACCATACATCGGCTTATGAAATGGAATAATTTTTCTAATGAAAATCAACTAGGTAACATGAAGAATGCTCAATGTAGTATAGAGAAACCAGTTAGTGAAAGCTTTATTGAGAAAAATAAATACCATGATAGAGGGTGTATTAACATAGATGGAGAGTGTCACGAGACAAATATATCACCAAGGGCAATTAAGTTTGGTATTAAAGACTGGAAGAAGCAAGAATATATTGGACCAATGCTTAGATGGGCAGACAAAGAAATCTTGGCAGTCGAGTAATAACTGTAGCATGAGAGGAGGTAAGTATCCTTTAATGTTTTATTATTTTGTAGGTGAGGTGACCATTACAACTTGCCTTCAACTGATGAAACAAAATAATTACAAAATATCTTGAGCTTATTTTAATAAAGCCTTCTTTAACTTATTTTCTTTAGTCATTTATATTGAAAAGTGCTGTAGAACCACAATGGAAAAAGCTATGTCTGTTTACAAAAAATAGTCCTGGTTAAGAACAAAAAAATCAGATTCTCTAAATATTTTACACACAAAGTTGTTTTACTGCATACCATGTTTATAATTGTTTTAATAGCTTCAGCAGTAGAGGCCTCTCCTGTCGCATCTTCCACAAGCATGCTTCCCAAATATTTGATATAAAAGGTGATCCCATCAAACACGGTCTGTCGTATTCCATCACCCCATTCTTCTGGAAGCTCTGATGATCAAGGACATTGATTACATGATTTTCACATGATACTAGTATATCAGTAAATCAATGACACTGATTACACTACTTTCATATGATACTAGTAGATCAGTAATTCAATGACACTGATTACAATACTTTCATATGATACTAGTAGATCAGTAATTCAATGACACTGATTACAATACTTTTGCACGATACTAGTAGATCAGTAAATCAATGACACTGATTACAATACTTTTGCATGATACTAGTAGATCAGTAATTCAATGACACTGATTACAATACTTTCACACGATACTAGTAGATCAGTAAATCAATGACACTGATTACAATACTTTCACACGATACTAGTAGATCAGTAAATCAATGACACTGATTACAATACTTTCACACATTACTAGTAGATCAGTAAATCAATGACACTGATTACAATACTTTCATACAATACTAGTAGATCAGTAAATCAATGACACTGATTACAATACTTTCACACGATACTAGTATATCAGTAAATCAATGACACTGATTACAATACTTTCACACGAAACTAGTAGATCAGTAAATCAATGACACTGATTACAATACTTTCACATGATACTAGTAGATCAGTAAATCAATGACACTGATTACAATACTTTCATAAGATACTAGTAGATCAGTAAATCAATGACACTGATTACAATACTTTTGTATGATACTAGTAGATCAGTAATTCAATGACATTGATTACAATACTTTCACATGATACTAGTATACCAATAAATCAAGGACATTGATTACATGATTTTAACATGATACTAGTAAACCAGTAAATCAATGACATTGATTACACTACTTTCATATGACACTAGTAAATCAGTAAATCAATGACACTGATTACAATACTTTCACGTGATACTAGTAGATCAGTAAATCAATGACATTGATTACAATACTTTCACATGATACTAGATGATCAATAAATCAATGACATTGATTACACTACTTTCACATGATACTAGTAGATCAGTAAATCAATGACACTGATTACAACTACTTTCACATGATACTAGTAGATCAGTAAATCAATGACATTTTTAATCAATGTCATTGATTTACTGATCTACTAGTATCATGTGAAAGTATTGTAATCAGTGTCATTGATTTACTGATCTACATGTATCATGTGAAAGTATTGTAATCAATGTCATTGATTTACTGATCTGCTAGTATCATGTGAAAGTATTGTAATCAGTGTCATTGATTTACTGATCTACTAGTATCATGTGAAAGTATTGTAATCAATGTCATTGATTTACTGATCTACTAGTATCATGTGAAAGTATTGTAATCAATGTCATTGATTTACTGATCTACCAGTATCATGTGAAAGTATTGTAATCAGTGTCATTGATTTACTGATCTACTAGTATCATGTGAAAGTATTGTAATCCTACTTTCACATGATACTAGTAGATCAGTAAATCAATGACATTGATTACACTACTTTCACATGATACATGCAGATCAGTAAATCAATGACATTGATTACAATACTTTCATATGATACTAGTAGATCAGTAAATCAATGACATTGATTACAATACTTTCATATGATACTAGTAGATCAGTAAATCAATGACACTGATTACAATACTTTCACATGATACTAGTAGATCAGTAAATCAATGACATTGATTACAATACTTTCACGATACTAGTAGATCAGTAAATCAATGACATTGATTACAATACTTTCACATGATACTAGTAGATCAGTAAAAATCCATAAATCATGTAATGTAATACTCTGAATGTTTTACATTAACTTCCAATACACAATATACCTCAGAAGGTATTTCTTTAACACATTGTTTTGTAAAAAGTTTGTAATTTGAATGTACTTTTATCAATTATTCAATTGTATTGCTTCTGGAGTTAGCTATTTTCTTAATCAGTTCATAGTAAAAAACAACAGGCTAAGAAAAATGAAATCACACTAAAAAAGTATCATATATTTTGCATTGATATTAGATTCAAGAAACCAGATGACAGCATCTAAAACCAAGGATGTTATAGTCATCAACATTTATTTCTTAATCAAAAAACTAACTGTAACTGAAGCACTAACATAAAAACTCTCTCAGTTGGATCACGAAAAACATAAACTCACAGGCTTATGCTCTTTTCTCGCAATTTCTCACATATATTTCAGGGCTCAAAATTAGAGATAGTTCAATAGCCTGAGACTAGTAGACTTGGCAATTTCAGTAATCCAATCAGCTAGTGAAAAATTTAGTAGACTAGACTTTCTGGCATTTATGAAATGATAGCTATATGCAAAATGACAAAGAGATTATAATTATATATTGGTGTCCATACTACTTCTGTGTATTTCACTATTAAAATTTTAATCAAAGTTACTTATTTAAACAACTACTAAAAGCTTAGAGCTTGTTCTTTTCAGCTATTAAGGTCTCCTAATTGGCAGTGTATACTGTGTCACCTATCAAACTTACCTTACACTTTTACCCTATTACAGTAGAAATTTTTTTTAAACGTATCAACATTATTTGAAACCATGATTCCTGCTTTATTTTTGAAAACAAACTTTTCACCATCTTTTCAAGATGGGTTTTGATGGATTCATTGATGAAAAAAATTAGGTCTCTTCCACAATTTTGTTTTGAATGTTTCACTGCCCAACAATCATGTCACAAACCTGAGTTTGAACTGAAGGTTTTCTTATACATAAACATTTGAATGGTTCTTTATTCAACAATCTTGTCACTAATGTGAGTTTGAATTGAAGGTTTTCTCATACATAAACATTTGAATGGTTCTTTATTCAACAGTCTTGTCACTAACGTGAGTTTGAACTGAAGGTTTTCTTATACATAAACATTTGAATGGTTCTTTATTCAACAGTCTTGTCACTAACGTGAGTTTGAACTAAAGGTTTTCTTATACATAAACATTTGACTGGTTCTTTATTCAACAGTCTTGTCACTAACATGAGTTTGAACTGAAGGTTTTCTTATACACAAACATTTGAATGGTTCTTTATTCAACAGTCTTGTCACTAACATGAGTTGGAACTGACGGTTTGATTATCTATAACATTTGAATGGTTCATAAGACAACAGTTATGTCACTAATCTGAGTTGGAACTGAAGGTTTGATTATCTGTAACATTTGAATGGTTCATAAGACAACAGTCATGTCACTAATCTGAGTTGGAACTGACGGTTTGATTATCTATAACATTTGAATGGTTCATAAGACAACAGTTATGTCACTAATCTGAGTTGGAACTGAAGGTTTGATTATCTGTAACATTTGAATGGTTCATAAGACAACAGTCATGTCACTAATCTGAGTTGGAACTGAAGGTTTGCTTGTCTATAACATTTGAATGGTTCATAAGACAACAGTCATGTCACTAATCTGAGTTGGAACTGAAGGTTTGCTTATCCATAACATTAGAATGGTTCATAAGACAACAGTCATGTCACTAATCTGAGTTGGAACTGAAGGTCTGATTATCTATAACATTTGAATGGTTCATAAGACAACAGTCATGTCACTAATCTGAGTTGGAACTGAAGGTTTGCTTATCCATAACATTTGAATGGTTCATAAGACAATAGTCTTGTCACTAATCTGAGTTGGAACTGAAGGTTTACATATTCTTAAACATTTGAATGAGATGAAATATGTAGTTTTTGAAAATATATAAAAAAGTCCTAAGCTGTATGGTTGTTGATGGTGAAATGCTTGCCTATAGGTGTATCTTGGTTCTGTAGTTTAATATAGTTTAGATCTTCTCATGCTCGATCACTGAGTTGGTGGCCTGTTTGTCCAATGTACAAATTATTGCATCTTTTGAAAATTATACAGTAAATGATACATTCTGTGGTTCATGTAACGGAATGTCTTGTGTCAAAAATTGTGTTCTTTCCTCGTATGTGTGCTGTGCTGTTTATATGTGGGCAGGTGACACATCTGTTTTATTTACATGTATGAATGCCTAGAGTATCATTTTATTTTAGGTTACTGTGCACCAGAATTTCTTTTAGGTTTTTGTCATGTCTAAGAAACAATGGGTGGGTCCTTGAAAAGAGATTTAGTGGTAGGGTCTTCAGTATGTATTGTGTAATTGTTTACTATAATATTTTTGATCATCTTGTTGGTCTGGTGGAATGTTAACACAAGTGGAATACGTTCGGTGTGTTCTATCTTGGTAGGTTTGAGTGTTTGATCCTGGGTATATGAACTAGCTTTGGTGGCTGTATCGTGGATGATAGAATCAGGGTAGAGCCTTTTACAATAAAAAGTTTTCATGTCTTTGGATTTAGATTTATAATTGTTATCATCAGTACATAGTTTGTGTAGTCATTGAAACAGTGAGTAAGATATTGACATTTTATTACTGTATGGGTGAGAATATTTGAAATGTAGGTACGTGTGTGAATGTGTTTCTTTGTAATGTATACTAGTGGTCAGATCGTCATCTTGTATGTATATGTTACTGTAGGTATGTGTGTGAATGTGTTTCTTTGTAACATATACTAGTGGTCAGATCGTCATCTTGTATGTATATGTTACTGTAAGTACTTGTGTGAATGTGTTTCTTTGTAACATATACTAGTGGTCAGATTGTCATGTTGTATGTATATGTTACTGTAAGTACATCTGTGAATTGTTTCTTTATAACATATACTAGTGGTCAGATCGTCATGTTGTATGTATATGTTACTGTAGGTATGCGTGTGAATGTGTTTCTTTGTAACATATAGTAGTGGTCAGATCGTCATCTTGTATGTATATTTTACTGTAAGTACTTGTGTGAATGTGTTTCTTTGTAACATATACTAGTGGTCAGATTGTCATGTTGTATGTATATGTTACTGTAAGTACATCTGTGAATGTGTTTCTTTGTAACATATACTAGTGGTCAGATCGTCATCTTGTATGTATATGTTACTGTGAGTACATGTGTGAATGTGTTTGTTTGTAACATATACTAGTGGTCAGATCGTCATCTTGTATGTATATGTTACTGTAAGTACTTGTGTGAATGTGTTTCTTTGTAACATATACTAGTGGTCAGATTGTCATGTTGTATGTATATGTTACTGTAAGTACATCTGTGAATTGTTTCTTTATAACATATTTGTGGTCAGATCGTCATGTTGTATGTATATGTTACTGTAGGTATGCGTGTGAATGTGTTTCTTTGTAACATATATTAGTGGTCAGATGGTCATGTTGTATGTATATGTTACTGTAGGTATGCGTGTGAATGTGTTTCTTTATAACATATACTAGTGGTCAGATTGTCATCTTGTATGTATATATTACTGTGAGTACATGTGTGAATGTGTCTCTTTGTAATGTATGCTAGTGGTCAGATGGTCATCTTGAATGTATATGTTAATATAAGTACATGTGTGAATGTGTTTCTTTGTAATGTATGCTACACACGTACTTACATTAACATATACATACAAGACAACCATCTGACCACTAGCAAACATTACAAAGAAACACATTCACACACGTACTTATATTAACATATACATACAAGACAACCATCTGACCACTAGCATACATTACAAAGAAACACGTTCGGACACGTACTTACATTAACATTTACATAGAAGATGACCATCTGACCACTAGTATATATTACAAAGAAACACATTCACACACATACTTACATTAACATTTACATACAACATGACCATCTGACCACTAGCATACATTACAAAGAAACACATTCACACACGTACTTACATTAACATATACATACAAGACAACCATCTGACCACTTGAATGTGTTTTGTAATGTATGCTAGTGGTTAGATGGTCATCTTGTATGTATATGTTAATATAAGTACGTGTGTGAATGTGTTTCTTTGTAATGTATGCTAGTGGTCAGATGGTCATCTTGTATGTATATGTTAATGTAAGTACGTGTGCGAACGCGTTTCTTTGTAATGTATGCTA